AACTGTATCCATGGGTAAACCTATCACCTTGAGGGCTATTATTTTTGGTAATACTCTTCCAATTGCAAGGCAATGGATTGACCAGACACTGGCGTTCTATGAACAATGGAAAAGTCAAATTTTTTGAACGCCTTACTTTTCGCCAAATATATTTTCTCTTTGTATCTAGTTAATGAAGCAGTAGGTTCCATACTGAGGGAATCGCTCCGTAATTGCTCTCGGTTGCGATCTGACCCAATAGATACTATAAAAATTTTTATAATGACTGTATATTACTTATGTGTAATATTATAATTTGTCAATCGTTGTAAATAAACGTGATTAAGAGGTCACATTTCTGACTGAAATAAAAAAAAATTGTTTATTAGGCAGAATGCGAGGTTTTAATCGATAGGCGAATACATTTGATGTGCAAAGTAGAAGCGTTTGGTTTAGCAAGTTATAACAAAGCATACAAAAAATTAGTTCATTTCAATAAATTCAATAATTAGAGTACTTAAGAGGAACGGCGCGTTAAGTTAATCTTTACAACGATCGCTGCACAGCAAGCCATTAGCAACGGTGGGTACTGCTATGCATTTATAAAATTTTGGTTAGGAATCTACGTCGACTGGATGGATTAAACTATCTCAAGCCACTTAAGCACTATTCCAATTTCTGTTTTCTATAAGAGCTTAAATTTAGCTTTCCATGAGTAGACTAGGGCTTCCTATACTATCAACACCTGCAGATTGTCGCCGAATGGTACCAAGCCATTTCCCAAAAATGAATTCGGTCTCAAACGAAATTCAAATTTCTTTTAGGGCAGTTTAGCACAGTTTACTTCATGCTTTAATTTTCGTAGAATACAAATGTAAGATGCATGGCCATTCGTCATGAGCCGTTGCGACGATTAAAAATAAAGCTAGAGAAGCTGAAGGGTGCACAGTCTCTAGAGCATCTGTCTGTGTAACGTGTTACACATATGTTTCCGACAGATCCAGATAGGACCTGGAGCCAGGTTTAGGATTTTCGGGATAGGACCACTAGTATGTTTGGTTGTGTACTTTGAAAATGGAAACCCGTATGTGTTCTACACAGATACAGTGAATGGATTTTCGTTATGCAGGTCTGGCAATAAGTTATTGTTTATAGTAAACTAAGCGGATTGCAGTGTTTAAGTTGTTTAATCCGCCTCACCAGGTCGTGTAGAAAATGATGAAAATAGAACCGCTTCGTTTGACTTCTGATACACAAGTAGTGTATAGCATTGCTGATGCGCATGGCAGTACTAGGCTGTACTTGCGTATACATATAAATGTAAGAACGTACGGCACGCGAGTTGAACACAAATGGTGATGTTACATGTAACTGGATATACGTAGACCAGTATAATAAAACTCCATTGTTCTAAATAGGAATACGTTTACACAACGTACAGAAATCCAAGTTGTTAATGAGTTTTCATAGAATTTGAACAATTTGACCAAGTATTGGTGTTATACATGTTGCTACTTAGTTAAAAAAAAAAACCATTGATTATTGGACCATAAAAACGCGATGATTATTTTGCTATTCTTTGTAAACTGATTATTACAAAATAGCCGTTACTCATTCTGAAGCCCCGTTTTTCCATGTATCACATGTTACTATTTAAAGCACATAGAATATTTTTATCAATAAAAATTTCGCCGATAATCTCCAGCTATAATCAGCAGGATTGACTTTGAACTGTCGAATCAACCATACCACCAGGTCAGCAAGATATGTTTTTAAACAGCAATAAAAAAAATAAACGCAATGGAATCGTTTTAAGCGGTATTCTGTTTATGTATAAACAAAAACCTCTTGCTTAGCCTGACAGACAAGGTTAGCTCACGGATGCCAACTTGGCTCCATTGACTCAATTTATTCGAAATAATTCCATTCTCTTAAAAAATACCTACTATTCAACTAACTACCGAATAAGGAGATCTCTGTGATAATCGCCCTAGCTCGCTTTCAAATATCTTTAATCTATCCGCTTTTTTCTTAGAATTTACAGCTGTCGTAACTGTTTCAATCGCAATATGCGTTGCCAAGGCACCCTTGACAGTTCATTTTAATTAGCCGCTACCGTATCAACTTACGCACGCCTAGCCACAATAGACACGTCCTATAGTGGAGAACTGACCAAGTTGCCGTCCGAAGTGATGGCTTTGAAAATGAATGAGAAGTAGTCTAGAATGTACAGTCGGGCTTCAATTAATCCTTTTGCCTACGGCAGCATTAAGCAGAAGCGCTATGAAATGTCCGTTCAGGGATAGAACCACATACGAAGATTTGACGACTTGTGCATTTCTCTCCGTAGATCACTTGAAGACAAGACACAATAACGTACACAAAACGCAAATCGAAATGAATTTAGTTTCAACTGCCCGGGATTTAATCCCACTGTACATATAAGCAGCTCGAGGTAATATCACGCAAGAAATATTTAGAAAAACCAGTAAATTTAAGGCCCAGTGTATCAGCATATAAGACACTTAATCGCACAGGGGTAGTCATGAATACTGTAACCCACATGTCTTCTACAATAGATAAAATATTACGTTTACATATTTGTGCATGAAATACGGTAATTCGTAAATACAAGTATTTATACATTGCCTCTTTTTGAGTGCGCTGGGTTCTCAGCTCTAAAAATTAGCGAAATGGCGGACTCCAAGGAAACGCTATTTCCAATAGCAAAATCGCAAAACACCGAAGCTATCTTTTGAGATGTATTGGCAATAACGTCATAACGTCAGTTAATATTCCTTGTGCCAAATGCGTTCAGCTGATAAGGTTTACATCATTTTCTTTTGTGGAATTACCTTTACTGCAACACGGGCCAAGGCCCTAAGCCCCAAGTATTATATCAAACATTACAATATATGGAAATAAATAAATAAACGTTTTCATGAAAATGAATATGAAGAAAAATTGCAATAGTGTTTTCAAACCATTTATTGAAATTTGTTTTTGGCTATAATTTCTCAGCGCCGATATTTCTGCAATGGGCAGTACAACGTGTGGGGCCGAAAACTGGTTAGACCAAACACCGTGTCTAGAGAAGAGATAGCATAATTATAGAATCATAAGCCAATTAAAAAATCGAGGAAACCTTTCTGAATGACAAATTGAGACATATGGTTGTCGATGCAAGAAGACAAAGACGGCGACAGAAAAACCATCTTATCAAAGACTTTTCTATACTGAAAGTATTAGCCTTCAGGAAATCTTATGCAAGAACTATGTTACAAAATTTCGTGCCACAAAAACTGCCTAAAGACAAACTTGTATTTTATATTTCTATAGAATTCGATTAGTTGCGAAAACTTTATTTCAGCATATCCAAAAGAGCTGACTGATCTTAAGCAAAAAATTAAAGCAATTTTTTTTAATATTTTAAAATCATATTACTACTTAAATATTTGCCATTCAAATCGATGATTTTATGTCATTTTTCTGGTAGCTCAATCGCTGTAGAAATGCAGTGGCTTCCGAGCCAAACGTTACTTCCGAGCGAAACTTAATTAATGCCATTAACGAAATTCTGCTGCTGATAACCTGACGACGCAGTCCGAGCTTTCCTATCCAAGTTCTATAAATTGTCGCCTGGAAGCTAACAGGTGGTCTGGCATAGTCATGATGAAAGACTGTTTCGATTTTTTTTCAACTACTCGTTCTAATCCTGTTCGTCTGCGCTGAACAGTAGAGTTTAGAATTAGTGATTTTATTAGGCGGCGGCAACAACAATTTACAGTGCGTGATTCCTTTCCAATCCCGTCAGACTCCTAGCATTACCTTATTTAGCGTTAATCTGGGGTTTGCCACAGATTGTGGAAGTATTTCTTCGTTACACATTATTATGGAGCAAAATTTCCGTTATGTGGATATCAATGTGTCTGTGTGCAGACCGTTGTTAAAAGTGAGGACTTGTACACAGACGGTATATGACCAACGTAAAAGCTCGAAAAGATCTGTAACTCCTTGACCATGGCTGAGGTGGTGTGATCACCTAAAAGAAGGTTTGGAAAAGTAGAAAAAGAAAGAAACGTCTGTAGGACATAACAAGCGCATTGTGTAAGAGATCCTAATGCAATATATAACTTGTTACGCTTTCTGTTCAGTTATGCAAATATGCTGGTAAAGTATGTTCTTATGGTACTGAGAATTTCATATTATTTAGTCTACTGATAAAATAACAATTTACGCAAAACCACAATTGTCTTACTAAATACGATCATCAAACCGACAGAAAACGAAACTATTTACATTAATGCTTAAGTGAGACTTTGTCGTCGCCATGAATACTAACAACAGTTTCAAGTATGGTAAATATTCCCGGTCTAATATTATCTCTCGCATAAATATAGATTGAAAAGAGCGATTACGGAAATTGTACTCTAGCAGATGTCTCCAGTTGTTCCTTTTTTATTTCCAGTTGTTTTCTATCTATTTTTTTTCGTTTCAGGCTCTTCACATCGATTTTTCCAGTCTTTCTTATTTCAGTTGAAAGTTTCTCATTCCTAGCGTTGCTAGGAATGTCACGTTATACTGTTCATGTGGATGCTGCCCGCTCTCCACTACTCTTGGCCTCTTTTTAGAGAGCTCCACTGAAGAATTTGCATCACTTTCCCTTCTTGCGTTTGCCCCCCTTTTTCGGAAAATTATTTGCTATTTCAACTGCTGCTAAAATCAGTTTCCGAATTTGCTATGACGTCATCGAAGGTCCGCCAATACCACCAGTATACTGAAGTTTCCTGGCGCGCTCACCTGTCTTGACCGTCGCCCTTGTCATTTGCGGGCCTTACTGCTGCTACCATACAGCAGACCGTTACGTGTTTTATTATTTTCGGGCTTATATGGCATACGTTTTTCCTTTGCTAGCAAGGTTGGTAGGAGGGGCCGAAAGAGGGCAGAAAGCGGTAAAGCAACAGACTGATTTTTATGCTCTCCTTTACGGCCCCTTTCCGACATCAAAAGTTGCGCTTTCCTAGCAGGCATTTTCGCGCGAACGCCCCCGAAACCGAAAAGCCCCGTCCGGGCCCACAACGGGACTCACCAGACACTTCACCCATCGGAATGACACCGGTAAGTGCCGATCGTTACTCGTTGCTTCTAAGATAAAAATAATGATATAGTGTCGATAAAAATAACAGTTCATATTTTTTTATATAGAGTTTTCGTCAACCGGAACGTAATGGTTACCCCGTGGCGAAGAGAACCTACTTAATTAAGATATTGCATTACCTTCTGGTAGTTCTTGTTAACTTCGTGAGGTACTGAATACTAAATTATCAATATAGCACAGAAGTATAGCGACTATTCTTTTGTATATGTTCTGTGGTGCCCGGAGCGGGCCTGCACGGGTGTTCAACTAAGACTCTACAGGGGCCTGAACTGAGCCTTTTTTGAATTTATACAGTATACGTATGTACCTGATTGGGTAAAGTTTATATTCTAGGGCGCAGGAAAAGCACTAGGCCAATAATTAAGCAAAATGCTGTAACTCCAATGGTTTCTACAGTGATTTTCTTCGAATCTTAAAATAAAATATTTAACCAGTTTTTAAGGTAGCGAAACGAATTCACCTAGTGCTTCGTGCGCCGGTTCATTGGTTTCAACGTTTTTAGCATTCTGCTGTAACGACAATAACATGCTGTCTTGTTAAGAACAACTTCGAAACCGCATCTGTGGCTAACATTGCGTACCATGTTTCTATGACAAGACTATATTAAACCTTACGAATTAATTTCAAATTAAATGAATGCCTAGACGTGAAGCTAGGTCAGCAGAAGTTGAAAGCACTCGAGAAATGATGGAAATACTTATAGCATAAAGTATTATGATATGGCTGCAAATAACTTTGAGGGTTATAAATTTTGTAAAGAAATTCGTAGATGGCAGGTTACATTGAATATGGTACATAATAATCTATTATTTCATACATTATATCAAACATAGTCTCCTCTTTAGAGAGATACGCCTCAGTCTACAAATAAAAAAACTTCCACTTATCGAAATCTTAGATTGAGTCATATAGATTACATCGATTCCTACACACACCTCGTCTGTTGAACACATTCTTCAAAAGTCACGAAATCTCCCCTCAGTTGTATGGCCGTCAAGGAACTCCATGACTGCTCTTTAAATAATCTTCCTTGATTGACATAGGACAGTTTGCTTTACCGCTAGTTTTTCTGCTTGATCGATAATCCTGGTTGTCATGTATTTACTCATCTTTTATAGTATGCAACACGATACACGAACCTACGTTGGATCAAGGCTCAGAATGATCACGCTAATGCCAACTAAAGCTTGCAATTCAAAAAACGACCGGACCGACTAGCGCTAATCTCCAATCTAGCCATTGAGCCTATACAATGAGTTCTTTGTTGCTCTAATTTATTTTACGTGGTTTACTTGTATCAGCTGGCGCTACTGGCAAGATTTTCTGGATCTACTGGCTGCTTCTCCTCCATGTCAGCCACGTCAGTCGGTCTCTCGCATAACGTGAAAAATTGCCCTTTTTTTTTTTTCATTTAGTCACGCCTATCCTGCGGCAGATGCCATTTAGCTCAAATCGAAAATTACATTCGTTTCTGATCTGTCCCTTTAATGAAGTTGATGGGTACGTGGTCAGGACTTCCATTACATTTAACAACTTCGGACAACAATAGGCGGAGTTGTCGTTTGTCAGTGACGACTTTTGTCCTGTTCGGCCATCAAAAGTTGTCGGATAATTAATCTAATGTGTGATTATTTTGTTTACGTTAGGATTTTTTATTGTTAGCGATTCTGTACACGTAGCATACCTTGTTGGCCGGTTTTGTCAACTCTCATTTATATTAATGTCGTATTACGTGAAATAATTTTGAAAGAACTAGATAAAAACTATAACTATTCTATAAAATTACATAGGATATTTTTGTGAACACTTTTGCCAACAATTTGCCAAATTATCTCTGGTTATTAGGGCAAGCTGTAGGATGTCTTGACTTTTTGCTTTTGGAGATGGCGCAACGATAACATGGTGACATGATCTATTGCCGGACAAGTAGTGCAAATTGTTAGAAACAATTAAGAGGCGCATGTTCATCATACCTTAATAGAGAAATATCACATGAATCGAACTCAGTAGATACCAAGAGATTCATCCTTGATATATTCTACATGTAATCACTTTAAAAAGCCCGTATTTCAACAACGAAAAAATACTGTCTATACGTATAGCTAACCTGCATTTCAGCAGGTTGTCCGATTACAATGCTAAGCCTGTCAGAATGTGTGCTATGAACTCACGGGATGCGCACTCCACAATATATATATAGTAGAGCATGCAAGTATATATGTATATATATAGCTGTTCCGTTACTGAGCCAACTGACCATCGCAATTTTGTCGTCTGCTACTCTGGGGCTTATATTCTATCGATCGATTTCTTGCCCCAGAGTCTTCTTTTGATTAAGTTAACGTTTGCTAATTTACCAGAATATCCCGTAAGCACAACCACGATGTGGTGCCGCAATGCCTCTCCAGAGAATGACCATAATACCTTAATAGTTCCCATAATTTTGCTCCGGCATAAGTTTTCGTGTTACGTCGTTGCTGTCACTGCCACGAAATAGTGAAACGTCAAACTAATATTGATAATAATCATTAGCTCCGTAATTCACGCTTTTCCTGTGAACTAGAGTTTGCTAAGCGGGGGCTCAACCGAGTGGCCGTCAGTGACCATCAATATTTCTTCTACTAATATCATTATGAAGTTCTACTGAGATACCTCGTTCATATAAACGCAGGCAGATCATTGTATATGTTATATATATATATATAAGCAGCCTGTTGTGCTTCCTCGTGCTGACGTATCGATAATAAGCTGTATTTTTGAGACTTGTCGGAGGAAATTATGCTGATCTGTTGATTGGTCTTATCATTGTTGTCATCATTTTACCATCGATGTGTTCTTTACGTTCTCGCTACTGCTAATTTCCCTTTACTGGCTAATTTTTGACGTTGATCAGTCATGTAGCACTGCACTAACCTAGACATTCAAATGCTGCAGTAAACCTTTTGGTGCCGGTCTGACCACCAGCGTCGCAAAAGCACCGCGGCGATAGAACAGCCGACCCAATAGCAATGATCAGCCATTGTTTTATCAAGTGAGCCAAACTAATTATGATCAATATTACTATTATTATTATTCGTACTCGAATGCAATGACAGTGGCAAAAATGATCGATGGAACTGCCACCAACTTGGCCTCCATATTTTTTTCATCCCCTCAACGCCAGTGGCGGTACGAACGTCAATGGCGGTGAGGCTGTAAACGGAATCTGCTAACTAAATTGTCGCCTAACGGAACCATATATCCGGTTAACGGTCTGGGGTAAAGCGGGCAGTGGACAACAACGCCAAAACACCAAACAAATCTGCCGATTTTATCGGTGGGAAGGCGGTCAGGTCCTGGCGATGGCGTCGCACAGTCATCGACGCGGTCGCCGCCGGTAAAATCAATGCTATAGTCTTTATTTGAAGGGAGGCGACACCAGCTATGTCGTGCTGAACGATGGGGGCGTATCTGTGCTTTACTGCCGAATGTGTCTGATGATCTGACTAAGAAATTGGAAAAGACTGCTGTAAACGTTTTACTGAAAAAAGAAAGAAAGAAAGAAAACAATTTCTTTTTCATCGCAGATTTACCTTTCTGTGTAGGTAAATACGTTGCTCTTTGTGTGGACTGTTTTTTCTTGGTTGGCACCTAATAGGAAACAGATTCTAGGCGGGAGAACTGTTGCGACGGGGCTCACAAGTCGGCTAAACGGGTGTATCGTGGAGTGGGGAAATATCTAAAGTAATAAGTTTATAATATTGGCTGTGTTACGAATGTTCGACGAAGACTATGCTACAAGACGAACAAAGTATTAAACTATTGTATTTTTTATTTTTATTTACCAATCCGTGTTCGCGTAATATAATCGGTACAATGTGCTTTAATTAAAATTGTTCGTTTGTTATAATATAATAATAATAAGAATAACTATAGTATATAAATATATAAAATACTAATAGTAGTGACGATGATGGGAAAAATGGAGCATGATATGCAACCTATAAATCTAAAAAACAACTCGATGTGCCGTCAGTTCAGGTAAAGCATAATTAACGTTGGGATAAATAGCGTCCGATGTACACGTTATAAGCTAAATATTAACAAGGCCTGCGCCAATGGTTTAGGTTCTGCTAGACTGGGATCTGCAGTAGCGGAATCCTGTTCTGCCAGACGATCTCTGCCGCTAATGTGATTCAGGCAGCATTAAAGACCCGGTCTCTTTTTCCAATCTGGCAGAACGACAAAAAATCGCATCGGAATGTTCTACAGGACAAAATAACATAAATAAAAAAACGTTGTGGCATCAACGTAGATAATGAGAGAGGCGGATCAACAAATTCGAAGTGCCACATAACGCCTATATATATATAATCGTTACCAACGCGTAAATGCGTCTGTCTGTTCGATCGTCCGCCTGTACCTTGTGTAGAAACTAATGTCATTTTGTTCCATTATTATTATTATTAACTAATAATTGGCCATAGTGACTCTGGCAAATCGTGACGATCTGAGCTAGCCGGTTCCATTTGTATTGGCGTCATATAGTGCTTGCAGATCTGAATGTCAGCTTTACTGTGTCTAGCTAATTGGGTTAGTAGGTGGCCAATGATAAACTGGCACCTAATCATTATCAACAATCTGATATCGCTGACATAAATGTAAAAACAAAAAAAAAACGCATGCGGTCATTTATCTATCCTATAAAGCGTATCGTAAATTCTGTTTCGCATTATTGTTCCGTAGCGTGTCGCATAAATAGCATGCAGGAGAGGGTATAGTAAGTGTTTTTATCAACTGTTATTATAGCTAGAATCCTTCTTTATGGTTTATGATGATGCTGATGCTGGGTACAGCAGTAGGAAAGACGTACAGTAACGTCTCGCATACTAATGATTGATTTGCTCGTCTTTGTTAGACGTCAATAGTACGATATTTCATAAATTTCGGCCCAATTGAACTATGGTTTTACTAAAACAGC